TGAAAAGAGCCTGTCCCTACAGTCTGACAAATGTAAATATGGTCTTTCCTAAGAAAAGGCAGAGTTTACATCTGCTTATAAGGACATCTCTAGTGGCTGTCAATCAGTCTGTTACTACAGATACTTCTTATCATGTGGCTGTAATCTTTGCAGGACCAGCCAGTATTGTGCCTCTCTGAAGAGCTGTTGATTGGCAAAGCATGGTGACTGCTACGCAGTCGCAGTGCTCCTCCCTGGAGAAATGTTGAAATGGCTGAGATAATCAGTAACTATAATCTCAACTAGGGGAGCGATGACTGCTATTGCAAAACCGATGCAATGTGCGATAAGAGATAAATGGCTTTATCTCTTAAAGAAAGGGGCCCTTTACATCTAAATACCTCTGACATCTAACAAATGTTAGAGTTGTCATTATAAATAACATTTAGCTAGATATAGATGTGTGTTTGTGTGTGTGTGTGTGTGTGTGTGTGTGTGTGTATCTATATAACCTTGGCACTCACCCTTATCCAATTAATAGATTCTTAGATATAATGGATTAATAAAAATTCTAGGTGCAACCTCAGCGTTTCCATATAAATTCAAAAAGGTAATAGGTGCACTCGTAGGTCTTGTTTCCAGTGTTTCTTTTATTTATTTGTGCAAATTACATGTGCAAAATCAAATAAGTCCGACCAACGTTTCAACCCCTATAGGGTCTTTTTCAAGATCAATGATCAATGTAAGTGATGAGAAAAACAGTAATGAACTTACCAAATCAGTGTGTGAAAGCTCTGCTACCCGTCCGAAACCTGGTAGTGCACAGGCAGGAACACGTGATGACACGTGTAACAATGACGTTGCACTATATTTAACCCTGTAACTTTCCAAGACACCATAAAACCTGTACATGGGGGATACTGTTTTACTCAGGAGAATTCGCTGAACATAAATATTAGTGTTTCAAAACAGTAAAATGTATTACACGATGATATCATCAGTGAAAGGGATGTTTTTTGCATTATTCACACACAAACGGCATTTACACTGACTATATAATCGTTGTGATACGTTTTACGGTTTTGAAACACTAATATTTGTGTCTGGGAAATTTGGCCAGTGTTTGTGACTAAGTGGCTATTAAAAAAGACTGGACATACCCCATTTGCAATACCTTGGGTTGTCTATTATTGCAAATGGTATGCCATCATGGGGGGAATTCTCATTCCTGGGCTATCATACAGTCTCAAAGGCAACGTAACCAATCTGGCGAATTTCAATGTGAAAAATGTAACATGTTATATTTGACCCTCTAACTGCCCAAAACACCATAAAACCTGTACATAGGGGGTACTGTTTTACACGTGAGACATCGCTGAATACAAATATGTGCATTTTATTGCAGTAAAAGCAAACAGTATACATTCACAGTTAAAATGTCATGCAGAACTAAAAAATTTACATTTCTTAATTTCTCAATTTTTTTTATATTTTATTCATATTAAATTATGTTTCATAACTAAATAATTTATGTGAAATGAGAGCCCTATTTCTCCCGAATAAAATGATATATAATAAGTGTGGGTGCATTTAATATGAAAGAGGAAAATTACGTTTGAACAGACCTATAGTCAAATTCCAAGTTTTGTTTACGTTTTATTTTGATAAAAACTTGTACATTTGGCTCAGTCCTTAAGGGGTTAAAAAAACCGAATGCAATCTGTCAACATTGAAGTTGCTGTTTGGCGTAAAAGTGAGTGTGCTGGATCTTGTGTATTGTATCAATTAAAGAAAAATACGTATCATTACCATAGCAATAGAAATTGTATTTTGTTTTATTTATTATTTTAAAAACTGTCTCTATCCTATAGTGCATGAAACAAACACATCTTTTCACACACCCCTTATTGGCGAAAGTTCTTGCTCAGTTGCTCATCACATAATCCACTCTTGCTCTATAGTTCACTCTACCTAGTGTGGCTTGAACAAGTGATCCCAGCTGATTGTTTTTTTTTGTTTTTTTTAAACAATCAAGAAAAAAATGATTAACATAACTAAATTTCAAAGCATAACCAAAGGATCTTTTACTTGTATTTTCTATTGTATGCAAAGTGAAAACCTTGCCAGAGGGTAACTGATAATGTTTAAAAGACCATTAAAGTCACCCAATAGTGCATTGGTTCTGTCATTTTAACCCTTCAGTGTAAAACATTGCTATTTTGTAGCAAGAGTAATTTTTACATGGAAGGGTTCAATACACCTCTAGTGGCTCTCTATCACACCGGCATTAGAGGTGCTTCCACCTTGATAACCAAGTAAAATTCAGGTATTCAATTAGAAACTCTCAGAGACCATTTGGTCTCAATTTGATATATGTTGGGAAGTTTAATTATTATTATTATCATTTTTATTATTATTATTATTGCCATTTATATAGCGCCAACAGATTCCGTAGCGCTTTACAATATTATAAGAGGGGGGAACTATAAATAGGACAATTACAAGAAAACTTACAGGAACAATAGGTTGAAGAGGACCCTGCTCAAACGAGCTTACAGACTATAGGATGATCTCATCCGCAGCAAGATGCAGCACAGCATAGGAGTAATCCTACGTAATATTACCTTCTAAACCCTTACAGTGAGGGGGCACCTATTGGTAGTTTTTTTCCAAAAGTTTTAGTGATCCTTTAAGCTGGTGCTTATTTGATAGAAGTTCAAATTTGTATCCATCAGCAGTGGGGATATGATGTTCCTGCAAGTTGTTTCTTGTCACATAATTGTCAAAAGACTTTTAACCTCCCTCGTACAGCCCACACCTCCAGAAGGACTGCAGTAAATTGTATATATGTTGCCTGACCTTGAATGAGCTAAGCGAATGAAATCTGGTGCAGTATCTGGAAGCCCACACAGTTAATTTCTCATGTGTAACATTTGCTACTTTAACTTGATCAGCTGTTGCTACTATATATGTATGCCTTCTTCCTGGACTTACTCTAGCACCATTAAAGGAGAGAAGTAGTTAGCTAAAACAATATTCAGTCTTAGATGATGCATGTCAGAGTTATTGTCTGAAAACATGATGTTAAATCTCAGTTATGCTGTAGGCAGCCAAGGATAAAAAAAAATGTTATGTCATAGTTATTAATTTTGATATACCGTTAAGTATTATTAAAAGGAGAATTTGTTGTATTTTAATAATCTTGAGTATTTTGACTTTCCCCATTTGTAAAAATAGCATAACATGTATGGGTCATCTTTATTTTTGTACCAGAATAAAATTGCAGAGAATGGGTTGGCATACCAAAGCTATGTCCAAACTTGTAAGGGGGACCTAGCTTAGAACTAGGTATGTGTGAGGGGGTCCTATGCCTTGCACATATTTATGTATGATAACATCTATGAGTAGTTTCAGCTCTAAAACCATGCCAACTATTCTGGTGAGTATTCTAGAATACTTTTTTGAAGAATAGAGAAAATATTGTATGTATATATATTTTTTATACTCTTATCTGTCTGCCTGTCCATCCATCCTTCCATCTATATACTGTATAATAAATCTGCAGTGTCAAGGTTATTCATAATTAATATTCTTTATATATGTACTAAACAACCAAGTAACTCTCCAGTCAAAAACAACGGAGTAACAGAAGGGGGATTATGTCAGGGTAATCTTGTTATTATTTTGTGGATTTGCTATCAAACGTGCTAAAATATTTTATTGTGTTTATATCTATCTACATAAAGGGCCAGCGCTACCATAAGGCGGCACAGGTGGCCATCTTAGGGCGCTCTGGCCCGGGGGGGGAGAGAGGGGCGCAAATATCTAGTTGATTGGCAGGAGAGAAGTGCACAGCACTCCTCTCCTGACGGTCATTTACTGTAGCATGGCTCACTCAGAGGAGCACTGCGGCAGCCCACTGGACCCCACTTCCTCCTACCTCCCACAATACTGCTCCTGCCCCCCATACTGTTCCTAACCCCCCAACGTAGCCCCAGTCCCCCACAAAGCTGCTCCTGCCTCCCCACTAAAGCTCCACAATACTGTTCTGATCCCCCCACTATAGCTCCAAATCCCACAATACTGTCTTCCCCCCCACCATAGACTCAATCCCCTACAATATTGTTCCTATTCCCTCACTAATGTCCCTGTCCCACACAATACTGTCCATATCCCACCACACCACACTACAGCCTCTTTCCCCACAATCCTGTTCCTAACCCTACCACTAACACCCCAATCCCCTATAATACTGCCCCTTTTCCCCCACACTAAAGAATTAATCCCCCACAATATGGGCCCTGTCCCCATACTAAAGAATCAATCTGCAACAATACGGCCTCTCCCCATCACAATAATGCCCCAACCCCCAAAATACTGCCCCTATTCCCCCCCTCGCTGAAGTCATAATTTTATATTATTAGTTAAAATAAACAATATCATTTGTTGCAATCTGTGTGTGCACTATTTAATTCTTTATTTGTAACAGACACAGTGTAAAGGAGGCCAGTGATATTGAAGATCTTATGTAGCATGCAGTCAGTATTCACAGGGATGTATCTATCGCAAGGCAAACAAGGCATTTGCCTTGGGCGGCAATTTCCAGGGGACAGCAAAAAACGCCAAATGGGGGGCGGGGCCTTACCGCCGAGCTGGACGGTTGCAAGACAGAGCCAAACTAAGCCATTCAGCCACAAAACTACGACTTACCAAAAATACCGACCAGCAATGGCGGCCCTCGACGGGCAGAGTGCACTGAACCCAGGGTGAGGCTTGCTCGACGAGTATTAGTCCCCTGGTGAAGAAATCTTCAATGCTGAAGTTGAGGCCTACTCCAGCGGTAAGTGGAGCTGATGGCCGCCGCCCCGCTATCCTGCTGAACAGTCTGGGGCTTAAACCCTCGAGGAACAGGCTCCGTTCCCCCCCCCTCTGAACCGGTGGGGGTGAGCCCGGTCCTCACCCTGAAGCCCCGACCACTACGACTGAGACTAAGGCCTAGCAGCACTACCAGTTGCAGACTGATGGCGGAGACCGCGCGCCTAACCCCAAGATCTGAGTGCACGAAAGATGCCCACCCCACAAACACAGCTACCAACGCGGTTAAGCAGCACCAAATGATCAGACACCCACAAAGTCCAGCCGCACGTACGCATCCTGGCACCCTAACGGGACACCTACCTCGGGTGACTCTTCAAGCTCCCGGCTCCGGTAAGGGGATGGAACAGCAACTAGCGGCGGAAAAAGGGGCACAGCAAGCCAAGCCAGCGCTTGCCCGAACAGCAGGGACCATCAGCCCCCACTCCGCACCACGCCACCCTCTACACACACCGGGGTCCAGGTCCAGCGAGCCGGATGCCGCACATCACTCCCGGTATGTCGTGCAGCACCTGTCAACTAGCCCCGCAGCAGCCGCAACACAGGCAGACCACCGGACAACAGTGTGAACAAGCTGAATCCACAGAAGGCATGAATTAACCAGTCACAAGGGGACTCTCTAAATATGACCTAAACAGTCTTCACCTGTCACAGTATAACTATGGCAATGTCGAAATATTACCTGTTTTAATGTTCTAGCCTTACTACTTGCATTCATATGTAGCTATAGGGATCTAAGGGGTGATGCTATATCTATCATATTTAAGCATGTACCTAGCTAAACGTAAACTGAATATACTGCCTGCATGTAACTTTATCTTGCACCTAATTTACCAAAAAATGTGCAATGCCTTGCAACTACCCTATTTGTTATACAAGCCAAGCAGCTCAAGGAATGCCATTGGGGTACCTGGAGTCAGTTTGTAATTTTTTTTTTACCTGCACAGCAAAAATAAAGATTAAAAAAAAAAACGCCAAATGGCCAGGCTAATGCCTTGTTTGCCTCGTTTTATGGGGGCCCAAGAGCTGGCCGGCTGGCCACTTTTGGGCTCCCCGGGAGCAGGCGGCCAGTTGTTTCCCAGGCGGGCGGCTAGGGAGCACTTTCCCTCTGCCCCCTCGCGTGATACGCAGTGATGCTGGAAGCTGGAATATAACGTCAGTCCAGCTCCTGGCATCACTCTGTCGCCCGTGAGGGAGCTGAGCAGAGAGATCACAGCTCCCTCGTTGAAAACTTAGAGCGCCTGCCACCTGAGTGGTTGTGCGTGTCTGCCAGTAAGTGTATGCACAGTCTAAATGATTGTCAGATTGTGTCATATCAGTGAATGTATGTGTGTGTATGTCAGTGTATCTGAGTGTATGTGCTGGTCCGTGAGTATCTGTCAGTCAAAATGTGTGTAAGTTAACAGGAAGAGGTGTGGCCTTGGCAGGAAGGGGCGGGTACATTTAAATTAGGGGGTGCCCGAGATCTGTCATGCCTAGGGCAGCACCATTTCAAAATTTACCACTGAGTATTCACTATGTCTGCAGGATTACTACAGTTATATCATTCCCATAGTTTATTAGGTCTCCTCTCAGCTTTGATCTGTTTAAGATGCTCAGTGAAAACCCCCTTTAATTACCATGACAAATAAAATTGTCAACAGCTTTATGTAAAACTTGAAAGTATTTCTCCAACCCTTTTTTGTACTGAATAACATAACGCCCTATTGACATTATTCTGCAAATACACTCAAATTGTTAAACAAGTTTCTACTCCCCTTTATACAGCTCATTGCGCTGTTTGTTGCAACTTTGTGAGATGTCACAGGAACCACGCCAAGGTCCAATAAAACCCTTCTCCTATAGAAGCATTTGATTGGATGCTTTTACGAGCTCAAAGTGCATGCATATACTCTTAGTCTGGAAGGGGAAAAGGAAAATAGGGAGTGAAAGAGGGAAGGTGGGAATAAAAAAAATACAGAAGCAAAGTGAATAGGACGCATCGAGTGCTAAGTCCTGCCTGTAAAGGAAGAAGCAGTTACGTTTGTCGGCAGTGTGACTTAACGTTATCAAAGATAACCTCAGCCTAACCCCCCCTCAACTCAGGAGGAACCTTAACTCTATGGGCCTCCAGCAGCTGTCATCTGACATTGATTCACAACTGCTATCCATCCCTTCCCTCTCCTGTCCCTAACTGGCCATCTCCACATAAAACACTATCCTCACCTCTGCCTTGAACGCTGCAGCCCCGCTCCAAACATGCACCTCGAGGAGGACATGACCCCAACCTTGGCATACTAAATCAACACGCTATCTGCAGAGTTGCTCCCGTTGTGCTGAACGCTCCTGGAGGAAGTCCCGCACCCAAGCAGACTTTCTCCATTATAGATTCATATTACATTCATACAGCGCAGCCCTTGCCAAACAGTCATACTTTTCCTCTCTCATTAGTTCATGCTTCGCAATCCCAGACGTCTCTTTGACACCTTTAATTCTCTTCTCTGCCCTGCTGTGGCCACCTCCCAAACTAACCTTACAGCTGATAGCTTTGCATGCTACTTAACCGACAAGATTGAATAGCTAAGGAAACAATTCTCCCCTACTTGCTGTTCTCTTTCTCAACCACACATAAATCATGCCTTCCCTACCCTTCAGACTTTTTCCCCGGCTACTGAACAAGAGGTGGCTGCGCTTCTCCATTCCTCTCGCCCCACCACTTGCCCGCTCGATCCTGTCCCATCTCACCTCATCAGATCTCTCTCCCCTTGTCTTGTGCCTACCCTAACACACATCTTTAAATGCTCTCTCTCTTCTGGCACTGTTCCTGCTGACCTTAAACATGCCACTGTAGTACCTATCCTGAAAAAAACATCTCTATCGTCCCATATCCCTGCTCCTTTTCTCATCAAAGCTTTTGGAAAGACTTGTCTTTACCCGTGTGTCTCGCTTCCTCAAGTCCAACTCTCTCTTTTACCCTCTTCAGTCTGGCTTCCGCCCTCTCCACTCTACTGAGACTGATCTTATCAAAGTTACTAATGACCTAATTGCAGCTAAATCCAAAGGTCACTACTCCATATTAATTCTCCTTGTCCTCTCTGCTACCTTTGACTCCGTTGATAATGCTTCAAATCTTCAATCGCTCAGTCTCTGTGACCCTGTCTTCTCTTGGTTTTCCTCCTATCTCTCCCAACGCTCATTCAGTGTCTCCCTTTCCAAGGTTACCTCCTTCCCTCGTCCTGTCTCAGTTGGAGATCCCCAAGGCTCTGTCCTTGGTCCCCTTCTATTTTCTCTTTATACTGCTTCTCTTGGCAAACTTATTGCCTCTTTTGGATTCCACTACCACCTGTACGCTGATGACACTCAGACATACATCTCCTCCCCAGACCTCTCCCCTGCCGTCCTGCAGCGTGTCACTGCTTGCCTTTCTCCCATCTCTGACTGGATGCCCTTGCGCTTTCTGAAACTCAATCTCTCTAAAACTGAACTCCTTGTCTTTCCTCCTCCTAATACTGGTCCTCCTCTCTCGCTCTCCCTTCAAGTTAGTGATATTCACATAACTCCATCCTTGCAAGCACGCTGTCTTGGCGTCATACTTGACTCTGGCCTCACCTTTGAGCCTCACATCCAGTTTGTTGCCAAATCCTGTAGGTTCCAACTTAAAAACGTAGCCCTTTCTTACACAAGATGCTACCAAGGAGCTTGTCCATGCTCTAGTAATCTCCCGCATGGATTACTGTAACCCTCTCCTGATTGGTCTCCCCAAAAGCCATATTGCCCCGCTACAGTCTGTAATGAATGCTGCAGCTAGACTGATTTTCCTCTCTAGTCAGTCCTCTCACACCTCACCCATCTGCCAGTCCTTACGTTTGCTCCCTACCTCCTATAGAGTGGAAGCTCGTTTGAACAGGGTCCTCTTCAACCTATTGTTCTTGTAAGTTTTCTTGTTATTGTCCTATTTATAGTTACATCCCTCCTCTCATAATATTGTAAAGCGCTACGGAATCTGTTGGCGCTATATAAATGGCAATAATAATAATAAAGTCAGGAATATAGAAATATGGAAAAACTGAGTAACAAGCAGGGTCAGGATACCAGAAATACCCAAGGTCAGAAACAAGCCGGGACAGGATACCAGAATTACACAAAATCAGAAATAAGCCGAGGTCAATATCAAAATATATCAAGAGAGACTTACCATAAGTACTAACCACGGGCAGAAACCATGATAGAGCAATGAACAAGTATCCAAATAACCTTTATGTAGGCTGACATACTTTCTAATTGGTCCACATCATCTCTGCGACTCCAAATGATTTAATATGGGGTCACCTATATGGCAAACCTAGCCACTTACAGAATGTCCTTGTATATATCTTGCTATTACTGCATTGCTATTCCTATCTGTGGCAAAACCAGCCACTTAAAGTGTAACCCCCCCTGAATGTAATATGATGTAAAGTGTATCCCTGTGTACTGCTTGGTATCTCCTAAGGCAGGAGATGGCTATCTGTAACCCAACCCCCTCCTGCCTGGGACTAAGGGAAGTGTATTGTGTGGAATGCAGACCCCCTGTGGAGGTATATGCTTAAAGGAAGCTATAATCATTAAAGAGTGTGACTCAGCCTGGTGAGATGCCAGTGTTTTAACCTCCAAACTGTGTGTGGTCCTTTTACTGGAGGGGAAGAAGATTTTAACCCCGGCGTCTGCGGTTCCAGCTTGCAGGGAGAAGAAAATAGGGGAAATGTCCTGGTAAGAACAGAGTGCCTCCAGGGCTGAGTGTTATCTGAACCTGGGAACAGGTCCCGCTATAACCTAGATGACTTGATTACTTTAAGGGCGGGCGTGATGTCATATATTTTGAATACATAAAAGATGCGCCAATCAAGCAGGCAGCGTTTAGCAGTATACAGGGAGAAAATGGCTGAACAGATTAAAGATATCCAACATATCAAGTTTCTAACTTGCTGAATCTCACATCCAGCTCATAGGCGTGCGCACGGGGTGTGCCGGGTGTGCCTGGGCACACCCTAATCCCCGTGGCACGCCTATGGTTTGAGTCCTGCAGGAACAGCGTTCCTGCACTTTTTTTCGAGCAGGAACGCTGTTCCTGCAGGCACTCAGCGCCCCACTCACCTCTTGCCCCTGTCATGGGGGGGCAAGAGGTGATGGATTCCCCCCACCCACCCCCCCACTCTCCAGCTCAGCCGCGGCGAGGGAGCTGTCTGCTCTCTGCTCCCTCTCGCCGCGCGCTGATGCCGGAGCCGGAATATGACGTCATATTCCGGCTCCCAGCTACAGCAGACAGCCCGCGCGGCGAGAGGGAGCAGAGAGCAGACAGCTCCCTCACCGCGGCTGAGCTGCAGAAAAGCGCCCACCCCACTGGACCCCAGGGAAAAGTCCACGCCAGCACTCCAGGTAGGAGGCTGGGTGGACATTGTTTTTTATTAAAATATAATAATTTGTTTGTGTGTATGTGTGTGTGTGTCTGTGTGTTTGTGTGTGTGTCTGTGAGTGTGTGTGTCTGTGTGTGAGTATGTCTGTGTGTGTGTCTGTGTGTTTGTGTGTGTCTGTGAGTGTGTGTGTCTGTGAA